TAAACATCGGGGCGACGCCCGGTCAGCGAGAGATGCTGGTAACCCACCAATACCGTTAAGTATCATAAATAGGTAGATATATAATATGAAAACCATTTTCGAAACAGAATACATATATATAAGTCAAAATCCAAGATCAAAAGACAACACAAGACTCACCATTCACAAGGATAACACCGGGAACACGTCCCAACCACAAAGGTTAACCACACACAAGGATAAAGACTCACCCAACGGCAACACATGCCAAAACACCACAAGACTCCGTGACTACACACGTCACGAGAGAAGATCACACAACAACGGCTTCACAAGCCCTCGTGACATCACCCATCACGAGTTGATATGCCTTCCTTATGCCCTGTTCCAACCTTATGGCTACCCCCAACCTTGTACCTTCAAAGCCAACCATTACCTCCAGAAAACCCCTATACAGCCAAGTCCAACCTTATTCCGCCGGGACCGTCGTCCCCCACCTATAACCACCAACGAATACCCACCAATTCACGGCAACACATGCCCGGATAACACAATGTTATCCCCCAAACACGTGGACTCAGCCACAACTCCATAATCACGTCACGGCCACCACGAGGACCGCTGCAATACCTTGATGACTAGCGTCCCATACCACTAATCGTGCAATCCAGGTAGAGTCACACACGCACCACCACTTACACGAAAGTCAAGCAACGGATTACAACGAAGGTATGAAACATACTCAATCAAGAGACGGGTCACCACCCAACGACAACAACGACGCTAGCATTAAGATAATAACTAGCAACCTCAACAACGGGGAAACTCAAGATAGTTCCGAGGAACACACAAGACACCACACGGTTCAACGAAACACAATGTTGAACACTTAGCACGATACACAACACCAAAGATCCTACATGGATACCTACCATAAAGCTCTAGACCTACGAAACATCAAGAAGACGCTCAAATAGTTCCACAAAAGAACATCGGGAGGCCAAAAGATCAAAGACCGAGACAAACAAATCACGGGGAACAAATCCCATCCCAACACCATCGTGTTCCCCGCGGGTGGACCCACGAGTAGTGCCCCACCCGTGGTCCCGCCCGCGGGTACAACACCCACAAGGCAACACGTTCCCGCGGGTAGGCCGGCGGGAGGTGCCCCGCCCGCCGTTCCGCCCGCGGGTACGCCCCTGTACCACAACAAATCCCTTCGAGGATTTTCTCCTCCAAACACAAATTTAAGTCCAAAACACACCAAATCTCACCAAACACAACAAAGTGACTTGAACCAAGGAAAATGCCAAGCAATGGCACAAAGGAATCCTAAACACAAGCTCTAGATATGCAATATCACAAGATAAATGCATAAACTCTCACATTTCATAGCAAAACACAAATAGAAGCCAAGAAATCATATATAGGTAAGAAAAAATAGGTTTTGTAGAGCATGGGTTACCTCTTGAAGACCAAAAGACTCTTCCTACACCACAACAAGCTCTCCACCAAGCTCACTAGCCAAACCCACTTCAAGATCAAACCAAAAGATCATAAAGATCCAACCTTTAAGAAAAAGAACTAAGATGGAACCAAAAAGACTAGACAAGCTTAGATCTTACCCTTCTAGATGCCAAAATAGAGGAAAGATTGAATCTTGGGAGCGAAACTTGGAATCTTGACAAAGGCTTCTTTTGGCTTGAAGAACAAGCTACTCTTCTATTCTAGAGAGAAGGTAGAGATATTTTCTAGGAAATGTAAGGGATGAAAAATGAAGAAGTCTTCTAGGTTTAGGTTACAAAACTAGCTCTTGGTGAAAAGACAAGGCTACCCTTACTAACTCTTAGAAAGTGTAAGGAACAAGGGAATTCCTCTCAAAGCACAAGGTAAAACACCACTTAATGATTGACTAGTCAAATACTAGTCCTTGAGTATAAAAAATCAGGATTTTAGGAATCAATTCCTCAAAAGAAATAGAATTAATTACTCAATTAATTCATGGTTTGGAGTGTGGATTTTTGGGGTGTCACATTAGATCTATCTAATCTAATGGCCTATAATTGACCACATATGACCACACCTAACAACATGGCCACATATGATCACCTATATATATATATATATATATATATATATATATATATATATATATATATATATATATATATATATATATATATATATATATATATATATATATATATATATATATATATATATATATATATATATATATATAATCACACTCATATGCAAATGCTTCGCCCAGGAGCGAAATAGGAATGCATTTTGTCCGTCCACGTGTCCAGATCTAATGGATGAGAAACACTGATTTTTTTTTTTTAAAATCCGGTGGCATTTTCGTAAATAATTAAACATCGAAGTGCAAGTAAAATGTATTACAAGTGCATGTAAAATGTATTATAGGTGCAAGTAAAAATTTACACTGAGCATCAATACTAAGTGCACCTATAGTTCTAAGTAGTTGCACCTATAGTTCTAAGTAGTTGCATATATAGTTATAAGTAGTTGCATCTAGGTGCATGAATGTTTACGGGTGGTTTTCAGGGGTATTACTACCCGCTGAACTCAGATCAATGAATGTTAACAAGGCAAAGTTACATGCACTTATATGTGAAAGTAGGTGCACCTATAGTTATATGAAGTTGCACCTATAGTTATAAATAGTTGCACCTATAGTTATAAGCACATCCAGGTGCATGAATATTTGCGGGAAGTGAATGCTAACAAGGCAAAATTACATGCACTTATAGGTGAAAGTAGGTGCACTTGTAAGTGATTTTACTTGCACTTCGATGTTCAATTATTTACGAAAATGTCACAGCATTTTTTTAAGATATTAGATCTGGACACGTGTCGCGCACTGATTCGTTCGCATATTCCTTCCTGGGCACTGATTCGTTCGCATATTCCTTCCTGGACACTTATTTGCACCTGAGTGCATCCCTATATATATATATATATATATATATATATATATATATATATATATATATATATATATATATATATAAAATTCCCCACCATAATCTGGAATCCATAGCGCTCTTCTGTTCTCAAAACCCATTTGATTTCACCCAGAGATACAAAAGGTTGGGAGTTTCTGATTCATAGAAAAAGGTTTTAATATGGAAAATAATCATTGTATTCTGAAGCTTAAAAAAAAGGATAAAGCATGGAAGCTAAAACTGAATCCAACGTTTCAATTTTCAAGAACAACAAAAAAAAGTCAAAAAGCTTGCAAAAATTATACACAGTAGATTCGATCCACCCAGAAAATTTACACAAAACATAATAGCAGAAAAGATCCAAAAACATCAATTCATCCCACGTTTGGTTGGAGCAGCAATGAGATGATATATATTCGATCTTAATTTATCCATTTTCAACCAACAGAACCATAGTTTCTGTGCTGTCAGGATTAACTAAGGTGAAGGAACACTAATCCCCAATCTTTATCTTCTTAGCTTCTCGGAAAGACTTCCATTCGTAGACCAGATGGACTCTATTCTCCGAGGATGCTATAGCCATTTTCTGAGGCGTCCCATTTTCACACCTCAGTTTTATCATCTTTTCATGCAATATTCCGGTTTACCGAGCAAACTCCATTGGAAAAATAAATAAACAATTTTTTTGTTATATATATATATATATATATATATATATATATATATATATATATATATATATATATATATATATATATATATATATATATTTATTTATTTATTTATTTATTTATTTATTTATTTATTTATTTATTTATTATATTTTTTAATAATTGAATAGGAACCTGTTAGCAACCTGTAAAAAAAAATCAATCTAACAAATTTATCTGGTAGATGGACCTATTTGACACTTAATTTAGTTCGTGGTGGAAATTGAGCACTTCGCAGTAATAGATGGACCTATTTGACACATCTGTCTATTTTTTAATAATTGAATAGGCAACCTGTAAAAAAAGTCAATCGAACCAATTTAGCTGGTAGATGGACCTATTTGACACTTAATTTAGTTCGGGGTGGAAATTGAGCACTTCGCAGTAATAGATGGACCTATTTGACACTTCTGCCTATATTTTATAAATTATATTTTATTAATCTCTATCTCTACATATATTAAAGAAAAATGAAGTAGGAAAAAAGGTTATTGTGTTCTAATTTATTGGTAAAGTTTTATATTTAATATATAATTTGTGTATATATTCATTTAAACCTCAATTATAATTAATTTGACTCCACATGAAATTAGATATAAAATAAACATAGTTCTTTCATAAATAATCTTTTTCAAATAAATAAATTTTTTGTGAAGATTTTCGACAAATATTGCATATTATTTTATTTACAAATTTTATTTAAATATGTTACTTATATAATTAAAGTAGTTATTTCAAATTCAAATTCAAATTCAAATAAAAATGCAAGTAACATTAAACTTTAACATAATTAAACTTTTAAAAATATTAAATATTACATTGTATAGTTATATTTACATTTTTAATAAAACTAATTTTGAATTGAAGAACTCAAGTACGTTTTTCTCTTTCCACAACCATTACTTTTTTATTAATTTAAAGGATGTCAAAATTTTAATTAGTAAATTTGTTAAATTAATAATAGTCCGTGCATCGCACGCGACAATTACTAATATATATATAACACCGTCAATTTCAATGAAAATATTTTGTTCACATATTTCAAGAAGAAAAGTTCTTATTATTATCGATAAATAGTACGGAGTATTATCTTAAGAAAATAGTATTATCGATAAATAGTACTATAGATAAATAGTACTATCTTATGATTGATGATGAATATTATAATTAAGGGGTAGTTTAAGTACTTCAATATAATAAATCATAGAGTCACGTGTAAGCTCGTAACTCTTGCAGAAGAAGCAAACTCGTCCGTAACTCCGTATTAATAAAAATTAGATTTTAGGTGCGAAGCCGCTGTCACTATATGTTTTTGTTTGTATAAAAGAGCAGCAACCTAACAGCGAGCAAAAATGTGCCTTTTCTTCTTCTGACAATTAAATTAAATTTGACGAAAATGTTGTTGGCAAATCTTTTGCGACGAAGATGCTCCGGTTCTCTTCCCTTGCTTCTAGGAACCGTCGTTGTTTTATGGTTTTGCTCTTCACATCATGTTGCAGCAACAGGCTCTAAGGTGGAGTATCTCCCAGGGGTTCGACCTGAAGGGCCTCTTCCATTTGAACTTGAAACCGGGTACAACTCTCCTCTTATCATATTTAAATACTTTGAAGAGTAGGGTTTATTTTATAATAATTACAAATTTGAAAGTTTAGTAATAGTAAGATCCTAATTTTTTATTTTTCTGAGATGGAAGGCGTGGATGTGTTCATGCTTTCAATTATCTGTGAATACACTGTCAAGCATTTCTATTTTTCAATGGACATCGTAATTATAGAAAATTATAGAAATGCCATCATATTTTTTCTTATTTTTCATTAATTTTTAACCTTTGATCATCTTAGATGGACAGATCAGATTTGTCCATAGTTCTTGCTTGGGTTATTCTCATTTGATATCTCAATTTTATATATATATATATATATATATATATATATATATATATATAATGAATTTAATGTACTTTGGTGTAGATATATCGGTGTTGGAGAATTAGAAGATATACAACTTTTTTACTATTTTGTAAAGTCTGAATCAAATCCCAGTATTGATCCTATTGTGCTTTGGATCACCGGTGGTCCCGGGTGCTCTTCTTTTGTTGCAATGACGGAAGAAATTGGTGAGCTTTAAATTTGTATTTTTTTTATTATTAATTATTAGAGGTTTTTTAATGCACAACTTTGATGTGTTAGAAAAATATTTTAAAATTATTTTTATTAGTAATTATTTTTATTTTTCTTTAATTGTTTCAACAGATTTGTTATGATTTATTTTCTAATATGACATTTTGTGCTTAACAGAACATTTAATTTAGTCTTTAGATATGTAAAGTTTATCCACTAATATTAAATTAAATACTATAAAAATTGAGTTATAACCAACTTGATTCAAGTATAATTATATAAACAATGCCTATAAATTGTTTCAAGGAATAATTGACACTAATACAAATATTGTGTCAATGAAAAAATTTCTAAATTAAATTAACCATATGCACAGGGCCATTGTTATTTGATCTACCAAAGAATAACTGGACTTTGCCTACATTGTCACTAAATCCTTATTCATGGACAAAGGTACTTTACATTGTGCTTTTATAGAACATTATTAATAAATGTTAAGGTCAATTTCAATTGGCTAATATATGAAATGCATAAAATTATTTCTAGGTTGCAAGCTTTATCTATCTAGATTATCCCGTGGGAGCAGGATTTTCGTATGCTAAAAGTTCAAAAAATTATACTGCGAATGATGTAGAAGCAAGTTATCATGCAGCTGAATTCATTCGCAAGGTAAACACTTTTCAATTTTCATTGTGATAGGCACACATGCACATATATATATATACATATTGTGAAAATTGCATTAGTTAACTAATACTTGGATTATTCTATAGTGGTTAGAAGATCATTTTCAATATCAATCAAACTCATTCTATGTTGGTGGAGACTCATATTCTGGTATTACCGTTCCAATGGTTGTTCAAGCAATATCATATGGTAAGTCATTAAGAAATATTCTATTGAAATTTATGTGATTCATTAAAAAAAAAATGATAATTAAACTTGTATCAAATATGAATCTGTAGTATTGAATTTATAGACTTACAGTAGTTACTCAATGAATATCTGCTAGTAACTTTATTAACCTAGAATAATTAATTAATTAATTAATAAGTTGTAGTGATTTTATGAACATATAGTAACACATGCATTACTGACTTCATGAACCTAGAATAGTGACTTATTGAACAAGTAGTATTCACTTAATGAACATACGATAGTAACTTAATTAACTTGTTGTAGTGAATTTATAAATATGTAATAATGAACCAGAAACAGTGACTTTATGAGCCTATATATTAATTTAATTTTTTTAAAGAAAAAATATGATCTCATTTTAAATATCTCAATTTGAGTTTTTAATGATATTTTTTATACAACAATTTTATTTGTATATAAAAAAATTTAAGTTTGAAAACAAATTTAATGCGAAGTTTGGAATTATGTGATATATTTTGACTATGACTTGGGTTAATATTGTTATATGAAAATTGGTTCATGATATAATAAGTACCCGTGAAAAAAAAAAAAAAATTTTTGAGTTTCAATATGTTCCAAACACTATCCATCATCAAATGTTTAAATATGATGAATCTTTATTACTAATTTAAATTTTTAGTCAATATAACATATGTACTTCAATAATTGCTCACTTGTTAATTTACAGGGATTGATGCAAGATTTAAGTCACACGTTAATCTTAAGGTTGGTAAAGATTTTAAGTATGAACATATATATATATATATATAGAGACGCGTTTTTACAAAGAATTTAAACTTTAATTTAAATTGCAACTATCAACATTATAAATTAAAGTGCATCTATTAACTGTACTTATGTGTATGAAAGGTGCACTTTTTGGTGTCGTTTGTTAAACTCTTGATACTATTAATTGCACGTTAAAATTTGAATTATTTCTTCCCAGATTCATTGTTTTGAGTAATTCCATGTTCTATCATATTAGAATGTTTTAATTTCATTGTAATCGTACATGTATATATGTAATACGTGCATTAGGGCTACGTCATTGGCAATGGAGTCACAACTCAACATGACAACTACAGCGATATTTTTCGAACGGCTCGCGGATTTAGTCTTATTTCAGATGAACAGTATATGGTAATTGTTCTTGATTGTTCTTCTTTCATGTATTAGGTTTGTAGAAATTTTACAATACTTAAAGCATATCATGCCTAATATTATACTCCGTAAATAACAAGGGGCAATAAGTTTTTTGTCAATAAGACGATACTTATTTAGATATAACTAGTTTTTCACATGCATTACGCGAATGTGATAATATCCAATAATTATTTTTAAATAAGTACTTCAAAGTATATCAATGTAAGATTATACAGGAAATGTTCATGCATAGGCAATTGAATGTTGATTTTTTTTTTTTAATTTAAATCAGTAATTCAAAGTATATGAATTCAAGATAATATAGGAGAGATTGATTATAATTGTCAATAAAATAAATGTTTGCAACTTTGTAATAACGATAGTCTAAACACCTACCCTAAAAATGATAGTCTAAATAAATACTACTTTTTGTTTTAATTTATTTAAGTCTTCTTAATTCTCTTTTGGGTAGCATTGTCATTGTTTTCATCTTTAGTAGTACTAGTTGTCTTCTTTTTTATTGAAGTTTTCATGCATTGATAAAATTTTGAAAATGATGTGTAAACTTGTTCAATTTGAGCCAATGAAATGTCAATATTATCAATTCTTTGGACAATGGTCCTACCGTTTAGAGTCTAGGTGTAGTTGTATTTCTAGGTCGCACAAGTCTGACAATGATGTAAGAACAAATTTGTCCAATCAAAAAATAATAGTACAATATTTGTAAAGTAATGTACAGTTGTATCATTATATTATAAAAATACATAAAAAAAATATTAATACATAATGACCTAAATCATTCCATTATTGCAAAAGCATAATTAAAATATTGAGTCTTGTTCTAAATAATCAAAAGAAGATTAATTAAAGGAAAAAAAAAAACTTAATCAAAATTTGTTTATTCAAATAAATAAGGATCAAATAGGTCATTGAACTGCACGCAATAATGCAATTAGGCTACTGAACCTAAAAAAAAAAAAACTACAACGGGATATCTAAACTAACTAGTTTCATGCAATTAGTCCCATTTGTAAGTTTTTAAGATTTCTAGCAAGTCATCCCTACTTTAAAATATTTTTTAAAATTTATTATGTAAAATAATTATTTTATAATTATTAAAAAAAAAAAAGACCCAGCCACGGTTGGCCGGAGATGAAGGGGTCCACTTCGTCTCCAGCTGTTTTTTTTTTCTTTAAAATTTTATTTTTTTATTTAAAATTATTAAAATAAAAGTTAAAAAAATTATTTTTAAATTCGGTAACCGACACAACAGGTAAACAGTCATTTTTTGTGAAATTGCATTCATTTGTGTTGTTCAGGGACCTAATTGTAGTTTTTTGAGTTTGGTGGCCTAATTGCATTTTGGTATGTAGTTTGATGCCTATTTGACCCTTATTCCTTTTTTAAAAATGCAAGAAAATTGATTTTCAACTTTGAATGCTATGGATTTAGTCAGTCTAATTATTTGACCAATGTTTATGTTAAATTATTCATAGTATATGTTTATTTTCAAAAAAAAAAAAAATTCATAGTATATGTTTAATAATTATGCCAATTCTGATTAGGATGAGGTTTGAACCTAATACCTTTATTATAGAAATTAATGAATACGTTAAGAATAATAAATAGTTAACAACATATATATTCTGTTACTAAAGTTTATATAAACGGAATATGGGGTTATTTAAGAGAAGAAAATAATATAACAGATGGTAAAAAAATATTAAAATCAAAATAATATGTACCATTCATTTCAAAAAACAATTAGACTAACATTTTGTTGTTCTCGTTAAAGGCCTAACTTTATTGATTCTTATTAGATTTGTAAATTTTTACTAATTGATTTTTGTACTCTCTACCCAATTTTTTGTGTCTTGGTTAATGAAGGTTTACTAGAGTTATTTACAATTCAAAATTTTAAAATATATACATATGCATACTACATTCGGAGTACTATTAAAAAGTTATATTTAAAAATAATAAGAAAATAATATGTAATCAAAGTTATATTCAAATTTTTAAAATATTAAGTTTGTCAAATCAATGTTTTTTAGTTATTTATATGTTTTAGTATTTCCTTATTATTTTTTTCCTGTCAAAAATAATAAGGAAATACTAAAACAAATAAATAACGAAAAACGTTGATTTGACAATTAATAATAAGTAAGATGGGTAAAATAGAACAAAGTGACTAATAGACACGTTTTTTTTTTTTTTTGTTTTTTTTTTTGTTTTTGGTATTGTAAATTTTTCTAACTTTATAAAAAAAAATTATAATGTCAAGCACATTGTGCTCAATTGGCATCTCTGTAGCTCTTTTTGGGCTACAATTGATAGAGAAAACATATTGAATAGATACTATACTGTAATAAAGTCGATAATACTCATAAAAAATTTAAAGAATGTGAACTATTTTATAATCTAACAAAAATAAAATAATTGAATTAATTTTGTTAAATTATAAAATAATGTATCTCATCTTATAGTTATTTATTTTTTTGCCATTGGATATCATTACAATTCAACATGAAAACAACTTCTAAGGTGTTTGGTTGAATACTTTTGTGCCATACTATTAGATTTATTCCTATTACAATGTTTCTTTTGCATGCTTCTGGTACTCCACTATTGTAATCACAAATGTTGCTCATCTTCTTCTCCCCTACTTTTGAAAAATAATAGAATTAAAATATAGAAAGAGAAAATAGAAAAAATATACATACACACACAGTGTGTGTATATATACAAACTTCAGGCAATTATTCTAGTTGAGGACCAAGCTGACACGCTAGGATGGGTTAACAAGTTAATAAGTTATCAAAAGGTAACCTGTCAACTTTGCTTACATGACATGCATTTTTTATAGAATCTTATTTAAAAAAAATTTTTTTTTTAAATTATTTTTAAAACTAATTAAAAAAATTCCAACTTAATGAAGAAAACTGGACTTCTCCGTTAAGCTTCTTCGTCTAAGCTACCATGGATGACTGCGAGGTAGCCATGATGGGCTTCTCCGTCTAGGATGGAGATACCCGCCAAGATTCTTCATCCTTGGCAAAAGCGTCTTTGGCAGCCAAGCTGCCGTGGACGATTTCCATGGCAGCTTAGATGCCATGTTTTTTTTTTTTTTTTTTTTTTTTTAAACTTATTTTTTTATAAATAAATATTAGTATTTTAATTTTTATAAAATATAATTTTTAAAAAATGTTAATCTAAGTGGCATCTTACGTGGCAGGTGACTTAGGAGTAATATGTTATTATAGATCAAATATGTTAATTGCACAAAGTTAACAAGTTTAAGGGTCGTCAAGCACCTTATGCTCTGATAGTACATATGTGGCTCTCCTTGAGGGAAGGTCACAGGATAATACCTCGGTGGTGGGGTATTGACTCTTTGGACTGCAATAGATAGAAAGAATATATAACAGATACTACCTTGTAATAGAGTCAATAGTATTCAAAAAAAAAAAAAAAAAAAGTTTAAAGATCTAATTAGAGATTTTTTTAGTTCAAGGGTTTAATTGCACTTTGGTATATAGTTGAGGAATTTTTTTTTACCCTTATCCCTTTTTTTTTTTTTTTTTTTATTCCAATTTCTATTTATTACCAAATATTTGATCTACTTTTTCTTAAATCCATAGCTATTGCTTTTTTTTTTTTGAAAGTAAATCCATAGCTATTGCTAATTATTTTATTTCTAATATTATTCAATTCTCATATCCCAACTAAACATGACCTAAATTTATAAACTGGATATGTTTTTTTTTTTTTTTTTTTTTTAAATTAAGTACAAGTGACTCTGTTATAAACTAGATATGTTAATTGGGTTCTAATGACTTAATGACATTCACGTGCAGAGAACGAAAGATTGTACGGGAGATTGCATAAATAGGGTAAGCAATCATTTAAATTATATTTTTATCGTGTATAAAATATATTAAAGATACACACACAAAAATAATAAAAATAATAATAATAATAATAATAATAATAATAATAATAATAATAATAATAATAATAATAATAATAATAATAATAATAATATTAACTGGAGTATAAAGTACAACCATTGCTGCACAATATACTTATATAATTTGAAAAACAAAACCATCAAATCTTAAATGAATAAGCATAAACCTTATATTATTTTATTTGTTTAAAAAGTACAAGTTAAAGGTTTTGATTGAGATAACATATTCAACTAATTTTAAGATATATATATATATATATATATATATATATATATATATATATATATATATATATATATAAAGTATAATACTATAATAACAAAATAAATTATCATTCATATACTTTTTTTTTTAATGCTACTAGCTCTATTACAATGTAGTATCTGTTCATATACTTTCTCAATCTACTGAAACACAAAGAACAAATACGAACTCATAACCTTCCAAATGAAAGTCCAACCCGGGTACCATTAGACCACATAGTCTTGGTGTTGGATTTATTTTATAATTAAAACTAATATTTTATTTTGATTATATATATATATATATATATATATATATATATATATATATATATATATATATTATTTGTTTATTTATACTTAAGGTATTATAGTACAATTGTACAATATAAGATTATTAGTATATTTACCAAATAATAATTGCCTAATAATTATTATGGTAATTAAGCTAAACATGAGTCGTTAAATTTATTTTTATAATAATTACAATTAATTTTTTTTTTTGAGTACTACAGACTCTATTATATTGTAGTATCTGTTTTCATTACATACCATCTGAGCACAAGGTGCTTTGCAATTACAATTAAATTATTTATCCTTTTTTCCTATATTTATTTTAGTAATAATATAATTACATAAAGCATATTACATATTGATTTTTTTAAGATAATTGTAGACAAGCGAGTCATATATTATTTAATTAATTGAGTGATAGTTTTACACCAATCTTATAATCAAATAAATGTATATTTTTAAATATTGGAATTATTTATAATTTCATCTCTAATTTTATTATCTAAATATATAATAAAAATTTATATTTGTGCATAGCACTGGTAAATATGGCATTTATTTGCTCAAATTCAAGCAAGAAAACATCGGAAAACATAATCGATCAAGTATCCAACCCATTTCATCAAAGACCCACACTATTTAATATTCATTGTTATAATTTATATAATTGTATCTCGATCCAATTTTTAAAATATTTAACAAATCCATTTCGTGCAACGCTTGTGCGAAAATATTAGTTTTATTAAAAATCTTTGACTAATTGTATTTTTATATTAAAAATATATATGCCTTGGGTTTTATAAATTAATTTTTTTCCCGTTTTTATCAATTGTAGTATATTTCAATATAAACATATTTTTAATATTTGACAAATAATCATATGCTTATTTTTGCAAACCACACATATATTTGCAAATACATATATATGGATCATGAATATACGTATATAACAAAGACTCAAAATGTAAAGTGATGCATTTTAAATCAATTGCACAATTATTTATTAAAGTTGCACATATATTATCGACACTTTCTCTAAGAGTATAATATTTTTACCATCCGCATTAAATTTAAATTTTCATATATATATATATATGTGTGTGTGTGTGTGTGTGTGTGTGTGTGTGTGTGTGTGTGTGTGTGTGTGTGTGTGTGTGTGTGTGTGTGTTTCAAATGCGAACCGTGTTTCCCGTATGACCAGTGCGAATTCACCATTAGGTTGCAAAACACACATATATAGATATGGTTCAAATTCAAACAGTGTTTGCCGTGTGACCGGTATGGATTCACCATCAGGTATACATAAATGCACAACAGAGTATTCAGAAATACACCACACATAATATTGCATTTCCAAACACTCTGTGATGCATTCATACATATCTAATGATGAGTGACCACAAAGATGCACAAGAAGCACTGTTTACACGGGAACTTGACCATATATATATATATATATATATATATATATATATATATATATATATATATATGTGTGTGTGTGTGTGTGTGTGTGTGTGTGTGTGTGTGTGTGTGTGTGTGTGTGTGTGTTCTTTTGTCTTAATGGGGCATGTCCAATAATGTGCAGTTGCGTTTACTGAATACCGGGCCACATTTTTATTGGCCTAATGTTATTGGAGAAGAAAATGATGCTAAAAGGTTTCGTGGATACAATATACATGCCTTTGATCGTCATTTAATATTTAAGGTAAGATCTTATTTATTTAAACTATTAATTTGTAACCCAATTTCTTTTGTATGAGATTGCCTCATCTGTAATAAATTTCAAAATATTTAATATGTTTTATAATTTTTAACAATAATAATATAGAACAAATCACATATATTTGGAGGAAAAAATTGATTTGTTTTTTTTTTTTTTTTTTTTTTTTTTTTTTTTTTAAATCCATAAACATCCAAAATCACTTTTCGTTCTAAATTAATTAAATCTCCACATATCTAATACTCGAAAAATATTGAGCTGCATTTTTTTTTTTTTTTTTGTAATTTCATAATTACTTTTAAAATTCAACCTCAACTTTTTTGTTCTTTCATCTTAATTTTTCCAAAGAATAAATTAATGTTCCTAATTGGGATATTAAATGCAACATATTAGGCTGCAGTAATTGCATCTCATTGGATGAATCATGATGATAACGTTCTAGAGGCCCTGCATGTTCGGAAGGTAATAATTTCCTTTTTCTTTTTCTTTAAATTTTCTTAATAAATGGAAAGTGTAATGACGGAAGGTTTCTCTCCACAAAATAATAATAATAATATTAATAATAAATAATAATAATAATAAATAAATAAATAAATAAAAGATTTTAAAATGTTGTTGATAAGGACTGATTTAATACCACTTACATAATGTTTAAAAAAAAATACCACTTGCACAATAATTTTAAAATTGCCAAGGACCTTGTGGACTGTGGTCCAATGGCACTAAGTTGCTCCTTTATATGAGAGATTGTAAGTTTGAGCCTCAGTGGAGGTGATATTGGCTTTTTGTGTTTCATTGTATACAAATATATTACAGATTTCTTCCTTTCAAACGGGTCACCCAATTTAAAAAATATATATTTTTAAAAAATAATTAAAATAAATAAAAAAAAAAAACCTCGTCTCCGGCCATGGAGACGAAGGTCGTCTCCAGCCGGAGACAAGGAAACCTTCTTCGTCTCTGGCCGGAGACGAAGAAGGCATCATCGTCTCCATGAGTCTCCATGGCTAGAGAGGAAGAGTCACATCTCCATGGCCAGAGACGAAGAGACTCTTCGTCTCCGGCCATGGAGACGAAGGTATCTTCCGTCTCCAGCCAGAGACGAAGAAGGGATCTTTGCCGGCGGGAGACGGAAGATACCTTCATCTCCATGGCCGGAGACGAAGTGTTTTTTTTTTTTTTTTATTCAAATTTTAGTTTATTTTAATTATTTTTTTTAAAAAAATTATTTTTTAAAAATATTTTAAATTGGGTCACTTGTTAGAAAGGGGAAAAATTTGTAAATTGGACAAATTGTTTGAAATTGGTTGGTTTAGGGACTTAATTGTAGCTTTTTTGAGTTTCGTGACCTAATTGCATTATTGTGTGATGTTCAATGACCTATTAATTTGACCCTTATTCCAAAAAAAAATATATTTTGTATGGAATGTTTTTAAGAAGTTAATTCGGACGTATAACCATATGAGACATATATATTTTTTATATTTTAATTTTAGAGTTAATTCCATTTTTTATCCTAAATTTATAGGTGTTAGTCCATTTTAATCTTCTTTTTTTTTTTTTTTCAAAACACATCCTTTGATCCTAGTATTATTGTAAAACAGACTATATATCCTTCAATTTTGGATTGTTTTGACATATATAGGGATGCGGTGAAAAATGGGCTAAATGCAGGATACCTTTGCGATATGAAAGAACTGTGAAAGACACTAGAGCATATCATGCAAATCTTAGCACAAAAGGTTACAGATCTCTTATATACAGGTTTGTAAAATATACAGTAATACAAGTGTAGTGAATATGATATAATGTTGTGAAGTGTGTTATTAATTCTTTCTAAATGAAAATATTTATTTACTAATTGTTTGAATAAAAATTGAGTTCATATCATATGAGGTCCTGCGAGTATAGTGATTTTGTCACATTTAGTCCTAAACTTTTAAATTGATCACTCATGGTCCTTCGACATTTAAATTGTTGCCATCCCAAGTTAACCACACAATGTCCTTCAACTTTCAAAATTTAACTAGCCGTGGCCCTTCTGAAAAGACCCTGAGTGGGTAAAATTTGATAATTGAAGGACCATGATGTTTAACTTGGACCACCGATGATAATAATTTGAAAGTCAAAGGACCACAAATAGTGAATTTAAAAGTGTAGGACTAAATATGGTAAAATCATTATATTCAAAGGACCCTAGATGGCTAGATGCTATTAACTCAATGATAATAATTTTATTTCACAAAAAAAAAAGAATGATAATAATTTTATAATGCCTTAGAGGCAGTTTAATTGCCTACTACTGTCAATCGAATGTGGTGTAATTGTATTTTTGTAAATAATTATTAGTTTGTTTACAAAATTGACCTCACTCGTTTCTATTTATAGTAGAATGCATGATACCTTTTTATATTATAGAATTTACTGTTGTTTAAATATGATGATGTAATTGGGCCGGCACCTTAAATATAATGTGGCTAGCACTTTACCTTTAATTGGATTGGTCCGGTACGAATGTTGATTAGTCTGAGTATAGTACGGGTTTAAAAGTGCCTCTTACAGTTAGAGTATGCTCAGGATACCTCGGCAAATTATTGTGTGGACCATGGTCCTCATAGTTGTGTGGACCATGAATACCAGGTACATTTTTAATATATTAAAAATACATTATTTGTATATTGAAGGTACATTATTTGATAGTATATATAAAATAATGTACTTTCAGTATTCAAATAATGTATTTTCAAAAAATATACTTTACATACACAAATAATATAATTTTAGTATATTAAAAATGTATTTTTTATTTATGAACCACACAGTTGTGTGGACCATATAGTCCATGTAATAATAATTGGGACACCTCATGTATTGACAAAACAAAAAAATTATGTAATTAATTAAGATATTATGGTTCAATTATTGTACTTACCATATAAAAATCTTAAGATCTCACAAGCACAACCAACATTTGCAAGGTATCTTCAAGATATCTACTACTAAGTATATGTTTTAATGATTATCTTTTTACTAATCTAAATAAATAATCATAGCTATTTCTATTTCAGTGGAAATGCTGATTTGTATGTGAATTCATTTTATGCTGAAACATGGACAAAATCATTGAATTATTCTGTCATTAATGATTGGCGACCTTGGAGGATGAACAATCGAATTGTTGGGTATGTTATAAAAGTCCCCAACAGCAGATTTATGATATATGAATTATAATTAAGAAAAGCTAATTAAAATGAAATCATTCAATTGTTATGTAGCTATACAAGGACCTTCTCCAACAACATGACATATGCCAAAATCTTGGTGATAATTTACTCCTAGTATATTGTTTATTAGCTCAAAATATATATCTATATATGTATAACTCTTAGTTGATATTTGTAACAGGGATCGGACCACATTGCTCCAACAATCACACCTGCGGAATGCTTCATCATGTTTAAGAGATGGATATCACATGAACAACTTTAATATTGTATGGCAAATGGTAAAATATACGTTAGAAGTATGTTTCCTTCGAAAACATATGGCTGTACTTGAGTTTTATTTGGATGGTTTATGATGAACGTCAACAAATACAAAATATTGTTATAATATTATTGTAATGAATAAATTACTGTGGAGAAGCACCTTGTGCTCAGATGGCATGTAGTGACTCTCTTATATGGGAGGTCATAAGATCGAGTCTCAGTGGAGGTGGTGTTGACTCTAAAAGTAGTGGTAGCTTTAAAAAAAAAAATTAATGCTACTGACTCTAGTACAATGTAGTATCTATTCATATACTTTCTCAACCTATTGAAACACAAAGAACCAATAACGCCTCCACTGAGGTTCGAACTCACAACTTTTCACAAAGAACCAATAACGCCTCCACTGAAGTTCGAACTCACAACTTTCCAAATGGCCGAAAGTCCAACCTGGATATCGTTATCATTATCACTATTATTTGGGTTTGGAACATGTGAAAAGAAAAAAAATTAATCTCCTTAGAAAAAATTGATTCTTTTTAGATGATATTATAATCTTTTTTAGACATCACTCAAAGTATAAATACCTCAAGAGGATTACTCAAGGTTGGAAATTTTAGCTAAAAGTCCAACCTGGATATCGTTATCATTATCACTATTATTTGGGTTTGGAACATGTGAAAAGAAAAAAAATTAATCTCCTTAGAAAAAATTGATTCTTTTTAGATGATATTATAATCTTTTTTAGACATCACTCAAAGTATAAATACCTCAAGAGGATTACTCAAGGTTGGAAATTTTAGCTAAAATGACAATTTTGAGAGCTTATTTTGTGGCACAAATATATGTGGGGTTTACATCTGATTTGGGTCAGGTCAAACTGGATTAAAGTTCTTCGTAGTGAGACAAAAGAATTGATATATTAGCACCGAAAGGCCGGTGGTGTTAATTAATATTAAGACTTTGGTGCTCATGCAGCACCTTTCACGAAAGGTGCAATTTTAGCACCTTTTGAACACTTGACTGTTTGGGTTTTCGGAAATCGTGGTTGTTCGTGGTGCAGTGACATTTCGAATTAATTCCGAAAGGTCCGTAAAGTTAATTTACCTTTCGAACGTACCGAGTTCTCAGACACTCAGGTATTTTGAAACAGGTTATTAATTGTCGGTACAAATTAATTGCACTTAATTTTGTAATCACAGATATTATTTTAATATTAAGTATAACCGTTTTAAATGATATATTCCGATTATTAATTTGAAATTATGAGCCACTTTAATGGTAGGATTTATAATCCCGTATATAAACCTTGTGTTTGGGCAGATTTTTGCAGTTAAGAAAATCAAAATTTTTTCTCCTAAAACGTGGTCTTCTTCCTCCAAATTCTCTACCCTTTCATTCCTAAAAATTACTTGTGTTCAACCCCGTTGTTCTAGTTCACCGAAGGTCTACACTTTGAGTTCTCAAACTACAGTATCGTTGATCCATTTTAACCTGGGAGACTGACGGTAGAACGCTCCTAACACCCTCGGGAGGTAGCGAATCGGTTTTAAGGAAATAGTGTTTCGTTTGACTTGGATCCCTATCTTTCTTCTCCTCTTCTTAGGTACGTGGGATTATATTTATAAATTTAAATCCTTTTGTTTATATATATATATATATATATATATATATATATATATATATATATATATATATATATATATAGAATTAAGTTTCAGTGCGGGTGCATGTTTCCCGTGCGGTTGTGCGGTGAGTAATGTGCGTGAGTTTTGTACTTAAGGTGCGTGAGGCTTGTGCTTAAGGTGCGTGAGTTTTGTACTTAAGGTGTGTGGGTGTATACTTAATGTGAGTAGTTGTTGAAACTTAAGGTGCATAAATTGTGTGTTTAAGGTGCGTGAGTTTTGTACTTAAGGTGTGTGAATCTTGTGCTTAAGGTGCGTGAGTCTTGTGCTTAAGGTGTGTGAGTTTGTGCTTAATGTGAGTAGTTGTTGAAACTTAAAATGCGTGTCAGCGTGTGTTTTTGTGCTTAAGGTGCGTGAGTTTTGTGCTTAAGGTGCGTGAGGGTTGTGCATAAGATGCGTGAGTTTTGTGCTTAAGGTGCGTGAGTTTGTGTTCTGAAGGTATTTTGTTTGTGTGCTTAATGTGCGTGTGTTGTGCACTTAAAGTGCGTCAGTTTAATGATTAATGTGAATCCAACAACACAACCGCACGGGAAGCCCCCTCCCGCACCCGATCCCTTCACACACACACACACACACACACACACACACACACACACACACACACACACACACACATATATATATATATATATATATAATCGCACTCAGGTGCGAATGCTTCGCCCAGGAGCGAAATAGGAATGGATTCTGTCCGTCCACGTGTCCAGATCTAATGGATAAAAAACATTGATTTTTTTTTTAAAAAAAGTGTGGTGGCATTTTCGTAAATAATTGATCATCGAAGTGCAAGTAAAATGTATTACAAGTGCATGTAAAATGTATTATAGGTGCAAGTAAAAATTTACACCGAATATCAATACTAAGTGCACCTATAGTTATAAGTAGTTGCACCTATAGTTCTAAGTAGTTGCACACATAGTTATAAGTAGTTGCACCTAGGTGCATGAATGTTTGCGGGTGGTTTTCAGGGGTATTACTACCCGCTAAACTCAAATCAATGAATGTTAACAAGGCAAAATCACATGCACTTATAGGTGAAAGTAGGTGCACCTATAGTTATAAGTAGTTGCATCTATAGTTATAAATAGTTGCACTTATAGCTATAAGCACACCCAAGTGCATGAATGTTTGCGGGAAGTGAATGCTAACAAGACAAAATTACATGCACTTATAGGTGAAACTGTGAAAGTAGGTGCACTTGTAAATGGTTTTACTTGCACTTCGATGTTCAATTATTTACAAAAAAGCCACCGCATTTTTTTAAGCTATTAAATCTGGACACGTGTCGCGCGCTGATTCGTTCGCATATTCCTTCCTGGGCACTTATTCGCACCTGAGTGCATCCCTATATATATATATATATATATATATATATATATATATATATAGGGTTGAGTTCACATGAGGACCACAATATATAGAGGACTCTGCGGACTGATTATGGGCACATAACAAATTAGTATCATGCGCACAATTTAATACACAATGACACACAAGAATACATGTAAACATCAGGTGTTTTTTATCCAAGCTCTCTTAATTAACAAACCTATGCACACAACATACAAACTGTGGCACACGACTACACCAGACCAGACACACGACATACAGACTAATGGCACACGACTAGACAAGTCAGTACAATCCTCTATAATGTAGTGGTTTCATTTGAACTCAACTCTCTCTCTCTCTCTCTCTATATATATATATATATATATATATATATATATATATATATATATATATATATATAGGCTTCGAATTCGATGCATCCCTATGATACATGAGTTCATGAGCTCTCATGATATCCATTGATTAATTTTCCTTGAATGGCTAAAATTATAAGAGATTTATAAATTAATTAAGGATATATAGAAAACAAAAGGATTAAATCGTAATTGTATTTATGTGTTTAATTATGGATATAATATTAATGGAATCTTAAGAATTAAATTAGGGATATTATGAATGGTAATTGAAACCATTGATTGTTAAAGCTATTTTGCAGTCACCTGTTAAAATTAGAAACACGTGGAGAAGACTGGTAGTGTTGATGAACGGGTGGGAGTAGAGGGCGAACCAAACAGCACACTTCAATAATGGCTTGTAGCATCACAGGTAGGTGCATATGCGTGTCTAGGCATGTGCGTATGCCGTTTTCCCCCCTCTCGTACTGTTGCTGTTGTGTAATCTTGGAGTGAATAAATGACGGTTAACGACTAAGTGGATCATTATATGGTAAACAAGAGCTGTTAATAAATACTAAAATGGTGCATATGCATCTCCGTGTACTGCTATGTGCGTAGCAGGTGACCAGTCGGTGCATATCGTTGTGGCTGAATAAAGGCATGTGTCGTCGGGTGCATTAGTGAATACAAGTTACTACATAGTACTTGTTGGGTTTTATTTATTTGATTTAGGTTAGTTTTGTGCTGGCACCCATGTTTGCACGACATGACAATTGTTTTGTATTTGAAATTATGCTTTGTGCGTAGTTGTGAATATGTGAATGCATTACACTGTAAGCAAGAGTTATTATCAAATAATAATATGGCGCGTATGCAACTCTGTGCACCGTTAGTGCGTAGTATGCGACTAGTCTGTGCATAACACTGAGGCTTATGCATGCATTTATCAGTTTGTGCATTAGGGGATCGAAGTGAGTGCATAGTGCAGGCGTTATTCTTCTGTTTTGGGTTAGTTTTCCCCTGGCACACATGTTCGCACGACCGTTAAAAAACCAGAGGGGGGAAAAAACCACAAATTGAAAGTGAAATATGGGAAACATATGTAACACGCAATGTTGACATGAAAATTCGTAAGCCAAACAAACATCCAGGAACACACCAACGATGCCACTAAAAACATTATCATTTGGCAAGCATTAAACAGCTTCATCGGTTTAACCAGATGCTTCGGAGAAACGCGAATCTTCAAAGGGGAGAACAATGCGTCATCAACTTCATTAGGCTCAACATCTAAGCCATCCAACACCGGGGCTGGCTGTGCGGGCTGAGGCGGACGTTCGGCAGCATCGGTCCATGGCAAACGTGCCACCACATCGACAGCAACAACCGGATCAACCGCAAAATCACCTGGGAATGGCAAAAGTAAATCACATAAACCAAAACAAAAAAAAATACCATTACATAAAAAATACAATTGCACGACAGCATAGAACTGATAGAAAAGGACATACGCACCAACCAAAGACCTATAGCGCACCCACTTAAATGCAAAAAAACAGGAAAAAACAATCGTGATGCACAAGCCCAAACCCCAAACCCAAACACAGAAACTGGACCATGTCCTCCAATGCTCCAGCTAACACGTCAGTCTTGGGTGCATAAATTTCACCAATAGTCTACAATGATTGGATACAAAACAGTTAAAACACACAAGAAGGAAAAAAGGAAAAACTGAATATAAGCACACATGAATTAGGGACGCACAAGCCCCCTGCCAAAAACAAATGAAAAACCCCCCCCTTACAATCTCCCCCACGCAGAAAATGGAATCAAAATGAGGCAGCCAAATAATTCCAAATATAATTTGCACATATCAGAAAAATGCACGTAATATAAAATACAACCCCC